GCTCATCTGAGTGACTGTTATAATTTAGTGTGCTCTGAGTCAAACACAATAATTCTCACGGGTTACTTTTATTTGAATAAATATAGGATGCTTTGTGGTGCGATAACTCAAGGGTTGTGCAGTAAATGACTTTGGTAATGTAAAATTTCAGGGAAAGTGGCTGCATTGGTTAACTGTTCAAAAATTTAAAACAAAACAACATTTTTTTCTGAGGACTTTTGTTGACAACCCAAAAATGTATCTGTGAAGCAAAGGTGGAAACATCTCTTTATCATATTAAGGATGGTGTTCATTTAGGTTGAGAGATGCACAAAATGTAGAGTCTGACACAGAAGAAATATAATAATCCTGAAGGGCTATCAGGTGTTCAGAGATGTGTTCACAGTTGTGTGGGAGAGGTGAGTGACAATGGAAAAAGAATACACTTCAAATGTCCTTTGATGTCCTTTGTTAAACTATCAGACCGGTGAAAATATATTTCTTTCTAATAACCTCTATGACAATCCATCTTCTTCTGTTTATGATTGGAAAAACAGAGGAAGATGGATGGATGAGAAGCATAAATCGAGAATCCACAGGCAGACTTAATTAAAAAAAAACACATCATGGCAAATGTAATCCAAGAAACAGGCTAGAAGCACACGAGGGAAGTCACCGCAGAGAGCAAATGTTACTGGTGCCATGGGGATATCTGGGCCTTCATCAAGTGGCACACAGGTTAGGGAGCACTGTGTAGCCAATTTGACCAAAATTGTGGATTATTACATCGTCACATACCCGTAACTTAGATTAATAAGAAAAACAACTCAAGCTCTTGACTGTGTTACAGGATGCATTGGTTAATTTTTTTGAAACAATGAATAACTTCAAGGTGTCCCAGGGATTTAGTGTCTGTGAACTGAAAACACACTAGGATTTTAACATAAGATCCACATTATTTGGAGAGCAAGCAAGCAGACTCAGTGAAGAGAAAGCTCTGCAACAGTGGGTTCAGGAAGCAGTGCCACAGGAGGCTGAATGCACTTCACTCATTCCCTCATTATTCAACATATTTACTTTAGAATCACATTAAATTAACATCGTTCCACGTTAAAACATTTGCAAATGGAATAAAACAAATTAACATAAAAACACCTACCCCTAACTTAGAGAATTAAAAAATAACTGCTGAATTCATTGGTCGTAACCCAAAATGCACACTTAAGACTCACACTCCGCTTTCCCATAACATGTGTGATTATTCCTGAACATGACATTGTTGTCTGGCTCCCTCTAGTGCTGTGCTCATCAAACCGCATGAGAACACAGGCTATTCTCTTAACTCATATACTTAATACTGTCTGGTGAGCACTGCAACAAACTCTACAACACATTTTCAAAGTTGCAGATTACTTATATAGCTAAAATGCACTCAACATTCTGATGTTGGTCACCAGTTTAGCATGTCCATATTGGTTTGGGGCAGTATCAGTCAAAAGGCAGGGAACGCATGCAAGCATTAGTTTGCTCTAGCTCTCCAGAGCTGAATGTCATGGCTCTGGGTCTTTGACACACTGTTTTGTTTTTGGACTTTTGAATCTTTTTAGTTTGGGATTTATGATGGCATTTCTTTGTATTTCTACAGTATCTTGTATTATTTCTCGGTCATTCCTAGTTTAGTCAACAATGTTTCTCATTTTGTTTCTTTTCATGCCCAGGCTGTCTTGGTCATATCTTGGTATGTCCTCCCTAGCGCCCCCTGAACGCAGTCAGTTTTTGTTTCCATGTTAGTTTCCCTTTCTGTTCATGTGTCAGTTTGTATTACGTATTATGTTTGTATTTTGTACTCCCCAGATAACAGGGAACCATCTTTTAGTGGAAACTTACTGAAACACTGTTGTTTAGACTAGAATCG